GCCATCATTGTTGTTTGGCGGGCCCGGGCTGGGGATTCGAACCTGCCACCTTAGGTGTATGTGGCTGGCACCTTAGCCGCTTGAGCCACAGGCGCTGAGCCGAAAGGGTTTATTTTCAATTGTCATCTATACCCATTTTATTCACTTAAATTGATTAAAATAATCTTTAACAAAAACCCCTAATTCATTCATGTACAACACATGCACACCATTTATATCTGTGCAAACTACAATCTACAGGCCAAATCTAGCCCACCATCATTTTTATGAATTAAGTTTCTCTGAAACACAACCTCACTCATTCATTCATTCATTTATTCAGTACTGTCTTTGGCTGCTTTTGAGCTATGATGATGACAGAGCTGAGTAGTTGTGAGAGGCCACACTGGCCTGCAAAGGCTTAAAATATTTACTGTCTGGCCCTTTACAGAAAGTTTGTTGATTCCTGAAGGCATATACTCATCCCCTGTGGACACAGGCATTTTCTTGAACAGTGCTAACATTTAAGGGAATTATAAAATAGAACTATATCGTTTAAACAAACTTTCAAAAGGCAAGCCAAATTACTGACCCAGTGTCTTAGAAAAAAAAGTTTCTTTCTAAATAATTTAACAGATTCTTTATGACTGTAAATATACTACAGCGAAATCCTAATGAAATTTTGTTTAGTATTTCTGAAAGTACAAATATATAGTGACAACACTAAAATTATTTCACTAACCCCAGATAATCAGGCTAGCTAAGGCCCTTTGGTACTAACCAGAGAAGTCATGCCGTGATCTTACTTGTTCAAGAACTGATTAACACAAATAGTCCCAAAATGTTCTTTCTAATCAGAAAAATGTATAAGCTTTGGTCAGTGACGATCCAGTTGGCTAATGATGTTATGATTCTAGGTGTCCTTAGTTCAATTGTTAGCATATTTAGGAACAGTTCCATCAAAGAATTTTTCTCTAGACATACCAAACGAGAACCAAAAGCATAAAATACTCAAAGGTGAAAAGAAAAGAGACAGAGATGTAGTTCCAAATCTAAATCTAGATCCATCTTAAATGTTTTGGAAGATAAACAATCTAAAGTGAAGAAATCAGGTCAAACGCCCAAGATAAAATAAAAATCCGATTAATTGGATAGCAAAAAACTAAATTTATTCATATCTAGTGAAATTCCGTTAAGAGCCCCAAATAAGGCTCTACACATTCAGGAAAGCCTTTTAGGTAAGGACTAAAAAGTTCTCCAGCCATCGTGCTGTTTTAATCCCTCTACCAGGAACCCAAGCAGTGAGAAACCCAAATTTGGTGTTCTCTCTTATCTCCGAGCAGTTTTATTTCCTTTGGGCACAGTGATCTCGGTAAGGTTGGTTCACAGACACCCATCTTGCCTCCCGAATCATATTATCCTAATGTCTTTTAGAGGCCTCTAGATGCGTTTCCTTCCGGAGTCACAGGTGCATCAACAAATTGACAGAAAACCAAATGGTGCAAAAATGTTATAAAACCGCTTCTCAGGAGACAATTTTCAAAAAGGGACCCAGAAGGGGGCATTAATTTGAAGGACCAATTTAAGAAGCGTCTCCTCCTAGTTGAGCCCGCTAGTTTAAAGAGATCGGGTCCACTGGTCGGTACAGGAAAAACCCAAAGAGAGGGGCCCGCCCAGGGGGAAAACTGCGGAAAGCGCGGCGCGACAGGTGCACGGAGGCCGCGGACTCACATTACACAGGGGTGCGGCCCGGCTGCGCAGAGGTCTCGGAAGAGCCTCGCCCAACACGCACCACAACAAATGAGCGCAAGACACAAAAGTGAGACTAGAACCGAGTAGTCGGAGAAGGAGCTGTGGGGACGGAAGTGAGGGGAAAGCATGCGATGGGAACGGACTGATTTCTAGCTTTCCTTTCTTTCTCCTCCAGTAACTCACCAAGAAAATCACACTGAGAAGACTGAGAAAAGGAAAGGAAATGGGAAGAAGCATCCAGAAGCCGCTAGTGCCTCCTCAGGAGACCGAGCCCCACGCCTCAGAAGCTCACCCCGGCCCCGCCCCCGCGCAGTGGCCTCTACGTCTGCGTCTGCGCCTGCGCCGGCCCCGCGCGCCTACTCACCACGCCCACTGTACCTGACCCTCTTCCCGCGAGCTAGCCTACCGTAGCCCTAGACGTTCCTTGGACTCCTCGCGCTCTCGACGTCGGCCGTGCGTCAGCGTGCCTCAGCAACTCGCTCCGCCCGCTTCGGGATTGAGGCATGCGCACTAGAGCCTTATTGTGCGAGGCTTGCGTACTAGTTGCGCTTCTGAGTCTACTTCTAGTTGGATTTTTGTTTGTCTTCCGACATAGAGTGATAGCAGGAGAGAAAAATGGGGGGAGGGAGGGGGACAGACATAATTTTCTCCACGTTTAATCCCAAAGGCACGTATAAACAGTGGCTTCCTTATGAACTCAGGAGCTGCAGAAAGAGGGAAGAAAACCCAGTTTGCCGCGCCACCTTCCACTTCCCCGTCGCCTAGTAACTGTTGCCACGGCAACTGCGCCGTCAACAACGCTAAGCAATCCCGAGAGGCGTAGAGAGGGCTTTTTCTCTTCCGAGAGAAGACTGCTGAGGAGTCAGACGAGAATAATGGGAAAGAGAGAAATCCAAGCTTCTTGAGAAGGCAAGGGAGGACGGAAGGAAGAGGGGAGCAGTAAAGAAAGGGACGGACATATTGGTATAGGGAGAAAAAGTTGATAGTTTTTAACGAATCATTTGGTGACTATGGATCCAACGTGCTTTTCCGAATGCATTTATAACCTCATTCCCAGTGACTTGAAGGAGCCTCCCCAGCCTCCTAGGTATGTGGGTAAGCAAAGATAACCACTAGAAACAAGAATGGGGAACAATTATTACATTTCCAGATAAGTGCATATCATGGGATTTTTAAAAAATTATATATGTGTGTGTGTCTAATTGAAATAGCCTTGGGCGACAACTTCTTAGAGAAGAAGTCGAAAGTTTAGACATTTAACATGTCGCAGTTCACAAAGAGGACGGTCCAGTGCTGTGAGATGGCCATTTTACTTAATATTAGGCTACACTTAACTTCCTTTTAATAAGGTATGTAGTTGTTTTGTAATTTACCTACATATTGGTAGGTGACATGGTTATGTAACCGTGTGAAATTTCATGTTGAAAAGAGAAAAAAATGACAACTTTTGATCAGTGAAACAAAGTCGATGGACTAGTTTCTGAGGTATCTTTCAGATCTAATGGTGGAATGGGAGGAAGAATGGATGAATAGATAAGAACCTAAAAATATGTAATTGTGTTAAAAGTTTTATATATAGGTGTTAGAACTTATTGTATTCCTTAAGTCTTAAAAAGGTAATCACACAGTAAACACTCAAGTTACTCTCATGTGTAGGACTTCTTAGAACTTACTTAAATCTATGGGGAGAAAATAAGGAAACTAATGAGGAAAAATCTCATCCCTCCTAGGACTTGAAATGTTTGCAGTGTTTTACCTTTATCTTTTTTCTTATGCAAGTCAAAACTACATTAAAAGAGCACTGGGGCTCGGCGCCTGTGGCTCAAGTGGCTAAGGCACCAGCCACGTACACCCA